GCTTTCTGCCTCAGTTTCTTCATCCACTGATTGGGTGAATAAAGCCTTAGTTTCGTAGGCTAAAAGGCGCCGAGCAGCACCAGTTGCCATCCCTGGCCCAGGCTGGTGATCGGGGGAGGAGAGACGAGGCTCCTCTTCCTCATGGCCTCTGTCCACCTGGATCTGCCAGTGCTCCCTGGGTGCCCCCACGGGGCAGGTGCTGGGTAAAGTCCTAGGTCACAAATCACCTCGTCTAATGCTTGCCTCGACCCCACGCCCTGGAGGCCATATCCCTCACTTTCCAGGTCAGGGCTGTGGCCCCCTGGGGAGGCTAAGCAGCTTGCTGGAGGTCAGCGACTCCAACCGAGGGCTTCCAGCTCCAGGAGCTGTGCTTCCAGCCAGCCAAGGAGAGCTGTTTGTCCCTGCCTCCTGCTCTCCCTCCTTCCTTCCCCTTTCTTCTCTTCTCCCTCCCTCTCCTTTTCTCCTGCCTGTGTTCTTCTATCTTCCTTCTCTGCAGACCCTTGGACACAGCTGTGTGAAGGAAGAACAAGGAGGGGGAGGGGCACAGGTAGCCCCTGTGTCTCTGATGCCCAAGTCGCTGCGCTGCCATTCTGAGATTCTAGGAGAGGAGTTTATTCGGCTGAGGAGCAGCACAACCACCTTTCTACTCTGCCCAAGAAGCAGCTCCTTCCCCAGCAGCCCACAGGGGCTGTGCAGGGGGCACGGGGTGGGCTTGGTCCTGGCGTGGAGGCCTCCATGCTGTCCTTTACCGTGTGCCTGTTCCCTCAGATTGCCGAAGGGATGGCTTACATCGAGCACATGAATTCCATCCACCGCGACCTGCGGGCGGCCAACATTCTGGTATCCGAGGCCTTGTGCTGCAAAATTGCTGATTTTGGCTTGGCTCGAATCATCGACAGTGAATACACGGCCCAAGAGGGTAAGCACAGCCCCCAACCACAAGGAAAACCTGGGACCTTATCTTCCCCAGCTCCCCAAAGCCCCCTTGAACTTCTCCCAGCATAGCCTTGAGGGAAGACACATGAGGGCTATACGGTTCTACAACTCTAGATCAGCATTTCCTTCATTTCCCCAAATGTGTTCAGCAGAATGGTAGTGCCCTGAGACCACCCGCGGAGGAACAACTTTAGGATAAAGTAGGTTTGGAGAAACAGCAGTCCACCCCAGTCACTGCCTTGGAGATTCCCAGTGCATATCAACATATTAAAGGCACTGAGAAGTCCTGCAGCAAAGAACCAGTTTATGTTTGCCTCACCTAGTGCCTCCCAAACTAATTTGAGCTCCAAATACTACCTTTCTTTTTTTTGAGATGGAGTCTCTGTCCCCCAGGCTGGAGTGCAGTGGCACAATCTTGGCTCACTGCAAACTCTGCCTCCGGGTTCAAGCAATTCTTCTGCCTCATCCTCCCAAGTAGCTGGGATTACAGGCGTGTGCCACTACAGCTGGCTAATTTTTGTATGGTTAGTAGAGATGGGGTTTCACCATGTTGGCCAGGCCGGTCTCGAACTCCTGAACTTAAGTGAGCTACCTGCCTTGACCTCCCAAAGTGCCAGGATGACTGGCGTAAGCTACGCCTAAATACTATTTTTATGTAGCACCTATTAACCTTCCACAGAATTAGGCCTTCACAGTGCACAGTGTGGGAGACACAGCTCTCATGCACGAGCAGCAAACCAACCTGAATTAGGGTCTCCACGGAGCACTCTGTTTTACTCTGTGAATGTAACCGAGGTGGAAATCTACGTCACAAGAGAATCTGAAGCGGTCACACACATTTATCAAGCAAACAAGCAGTGTCCGATGAGCATACGAGTCAGATGACAAGCAGACAGGATATGGCTTGTTCTCTCGGGAACTTCAGGCTGGCTGGGGAGACCGAGAAATGGAGGCCAGGGGAGGCCGTGGAGTGCCAAGCCCTGAGGTCTGCTCCAAATGCTGGCTGGGGCTGCAGCCATTGAGTTGCTTCGCAGGGCAGCCGGATGTGAGTCCTTTCTCATAGTGGCCCTCGGAGGTACAAGTGTCACCATTTCCATTTTGCGGGAAGGGACTAACGGAGGCGCGGGCAGGTTTAAATGGCTTGCCCAGGCCATGTTTTTTTTAATTAAACAAGGCCCCTGTCAGGTGAAACAGGCCCCTTCCATCCCAGGTGGAAATATGGTGGCTGCCCATTGAGGTCACTTGCTCTCTTTTTAAAGAACCAAAGTGGGTGACCACGTGCTATTGGTGTCCATGTCCTCTTTCAGTGCTGCAGATGCCGTGTCCACACTCACCCGGCCATGTGTCCTGGTGTGTGGTAATGCTCCCACCATGCCAGGCCGCCCCACCTTTCCAGGCCCTGCAGTGAGGGCTTGAGGGAAGGACAGCAGGAGCAGGGGTGGGGTGAGGATGGAGGGTAGGGGCCACCGGCCATGGCCTCCCAAAGCTGTGCATGGCTTTTCCCGCAGGGGCCAAGTTCCCCATCAAGTGGACAGCCCCGGAAGCCATCCACTTCGGGGTCTTCACCATCAAAGCAGACGTGTGGTCGTTTGGAGTCCTCCTGATGGAAGTTGTCACTTATGGGCGGGTACCATACCCAGGTGGGCGGCTCACCCCGCAGCTCTCCCGGCTCCCTGCTTTCCCGGCCGGCCCTGGCGGCAGGTCGCCTGTCCTTGGTGCCTGTGGCTGCCCCCTTCTTTTCAGAGTGAGTCCCAGGGCAAGGACGGAGACCCAGGCATGGAATCTGGGGTGGAGCTCTGCCCTCTGCATCACTATTGCTCTGGGCCGCAGGGCTGCATCGCCTTCCTCCAGCAGAGGTCAGATGAGTCCCACAAACTGGAATCAAGACAAAGGCACATCTGAACTCAAGTTTACTCCCAATGGCTTGTTCTCAGCTGAGGACAGGTTGTGCCCACCGTGGCATTGCACCCATAGCGGATCCCCAAAGCCCCATTCTGTGTGAGCAGAGTCGTGGCCGCCAGCCCCCAGCCCCAGTCGAAGGGCTCCGGCCGCTTGGCCCCTGCAGTTGGGCAGGCTCCGGGTCACCTGCTGCTGTGTGCACCTGGCAGCTGCCCATGAGTGATGGGCTTGGCTGTGCCCCTGGTGGTCACAGGTAATCAAGAGGGGGAGGGTCCCATCTGCAGAGGACCTGCCCCTGCACTCAGGAGAAAATCGACAGCCTCATTTCTAGGCGTTCCCCAGGAAATAAAAAGTAAATAAAGGGCTGTTTAGAGGCTGGGCGGCCGGGCAACCCACGAAGCTGGAGAGGCGGTCGGGGCCTGTAGGTACTGCTGTCCCCTGCCTGGGCCCACTGTGCCCCGCGGGCCGCTCGGGTCGCCCCACCACCAAGGACCCCCGCCCCTCACCCCCGCTCGCGGTCCCCTCTGCCGCAGGGATGAGCAACCCCGAGGTCATCCGCAACCTGGAGCGCGGCTACCGCATGCCGCGCCCCGAAACTTGCCCGCCCGAGCTGTACCGCGGCGTCATCGCCGAGTGCTGGCGCAGCCGGCCCGAGGAGCGGCCCACCTTCGAGTTCCTGCAGTCGGTGCTGGAGGACTTCTACACGGCCACCGAGCGGCAGTACGAGCTGCAGCCCTAGCCAGCCGCGCCCGCCTGTGCCCCGTGCTCACCTCTGCGCGGACGACCCCGACTCCCGTGCCAGCCCAGACGGGCCGCGAAGGCGAGGAGGTCGGCTGTGCCCATTTCTCAGACCCGGAAGCCAGCGGGCAGAGGCAGCTTCGCAGACGGTCCCCGGACGGACTCCTTCACCGACTGTGTGCCCTCGGGCGAGTTACACGGCCTCTCTGTGCCGCCTCATTTGTAAAGAGGGCTGTAACAGTGACCTCGCACGGTCACCCGGAGTACTAAGCCCCAGTAAGGTGTTCAGGACTAGTAAGCCGCTGTCATCACGTAAGGCCCCCGTGCTGGGCCCTGAGCGAGGAGTCGCCGCCGCTGGTCGCGTGCCCGCCGCTGCGCCCTGCTGGGACCCCGCCCTGCCCCGCTGCAGAAGCCAGACTGGGTCCCCCGGCTCCGGCACTGCGGGACTTTTCCGCAATAAAGTCACGAACGTTCGAGCTTTTCCGTGTCGTTACCTGTGACAAGCTGAACATCGCGTGCAGGAGGAGCACCGGGTGCAAGCGAGGCACAGTCGGGGAGTCCCGCGTGGCCCAGGCTCCGGGCGGTTGAGCGGGGCCAGCAGGGGGCGCTGTGGCCTCATAAATCCCTGGCTCGGGCCCGCGCCGGGGGCCCTGTGCATGGCAAACCCGGGGGCTGATGCTAGGAGCCGGCGCTTTGGGGACGGCTAGGACAAGAGCCCAGCTCCCGAGGCTCCGGCTCCCAGTCCTCAGGCCAGGTGCATAAACAAGGATCGGGTGACGATGGGGCGTAAAAGCGAGGAACGCTGGTGGCTCCCACTGCACGGGGCCTCTTAGCATGTTTTTGTTTTTGTTTTTACGAGAGAGAATTTTTTTTTTTTTTTTTTTTTTTAGCAGTTAGGTTTACAGAAAAAAAAAAGTAGGAAGTAAGTAGACAGTCTCCATATCTCGCCCATTTCCCCTATTACTGACATCGCGCAATGGTGGTGCGTTTGTTAACATTCATGAACCAATAGTGATAAAATATCATTAACCGAAGCCCACCTTTTTCATCCAGGTTCTCGCTGCCTGTTGTACATGCTGTGGGTGTAGACGAAAGTGCAGAGACTTGAACCTACCGTTCTGGGTCCCCCACTCGAAGGCTCCCTGGCTCCACCTGTGCACCCCCTTCCTTCCCCTTGAACCCTTGGCACCCAGCTTGTCAGTGTTGACTCCTCTGACTGTGAGGACACCCCGAGGTAGGACTATAGCCACCTCGAGTACAGAGGTGGAAACCAAGGCACAAAGTGCTCACAGGCACAGCTCATAAGCGGCAGGACAGGGGTGTAGCGGGGGGAAGCTGCAGGATGGGGGTGTAGGTTGGGGGAAGCTGCAGGCCTGGGCAGCAGAGGATGAGAGTGGGGCCTTGATGGAAGAACCCCTGGAGAGGGGGCAGTTGCTGCAGGGGTGCTGGGTGAGAGCCACCAGCCCAGACGGACGCAGTTTACATAGCGTGATCACCTATGGTCTGTGGATTCTCCAGCAGCCTGGGGTGGGAGCACCACCATTGCTACCACAAAGCTGTTTCTGCAGATGAGGAAACAGACAGACTCCATGCCACCAGGTTCCTCTCAGCCAGTTCTTGGCCCTCACAGCCCCCACTGGCCGTGGGCAAGCACTGGGTGGGAGCACAGCACTTTAGGGAGGAGGTCTGCAAGGGCAGGCGGGGACAGGCCTGGGGCCTCACTGAGGAGCCCAAGGAGACAGGTGTTCCGCAGCTGCTCCGGGATGCTGGAGGTGGAGGAACCTAGAGGTGGAACTCTGTTGTCCCAGACAGTGGGGGCTCCAGAAATTGTGGGGCTTCTGACCTCCTCCAGGACCTGGTCACACCAGGGTGCTGGAACGAGGAAACTGCCTGACCAAGAACCTAGTGCTAGGGGGCGTGGTTGGTGGGGGTAAACAGGAACGTGGGACAACAGGGTCAGTGGGGACTCCTGCCAGTGGGGGCCACTGGGACTCAAGAATGGGAGGGCCAGGCTGACCTGCTGGAGCTCCTGTGGGGTGGGGCTGAGGAGGGAGTTAAGATCACAGGATGAGGAATGAGCCTTCCTTCCCCTCATGAGCAGGGACCATAGGCCAGGGCACCACCTCCCAGGCCCCCACAACCCCTCTGAAGTGGCTGCCATGACTTGGGAGCTGTCCTTGAGCTGCAAGGCTTGAGACTGTCTCCTCACCTCCCTGGACCCCACAGTCATCCCATAAAGATGAACGAGTCACCCAGTGCTTCACCGACGTCACCTCAGGTTTTTGGTTTAAAATGCAGGCTGGGCGCGGTGGTTCATGCCTGTAATCCCAGCACTTTGGGAAGCCAAGGCAGGTGAATCACCTGAAGTCAGGAGTTCGAGACCAGCCTGGCCAACATGGTGAAACCCTGTCTCTACTAAAAATACAGTAATTAGCTGGGTGTGGTGGCGGGTGCCTGTAATCCCAGCTACTTAGGAGGCTGAGGCAGGAGAATCGCTTGAACCTGGGAGCCGGAGTTTGCAGTAAACTGAGATCATGCCATTGCACTCCAGCCTGGGTGACAAGAGCGAAACTCAGTCTCAAAAAACAAAAATAAAAATAATAAAATAAAATGCAAGTCCTTCAGCCTCTCCCTCTCCCACAGAGATTCTGATTCAGTGGGTTGAAGTCTGGATCTGGAAACGTCCTCTTTTATAAGCACCCTGAGTGATTCCTGTGCAAGTATTTCCAGCTTGGACCAGCAGCTGTCAGCCCTGGCTCCTCACTAGGATCACCTGGGATAGAAGGGGTGGGGCAGCACATTAAAAAGTCCCAGTGCCAGGGTTCCAGGTGAGCATACTTTATCCAGGGCCTCCGCATACTTTAAACACCTCAGCTGGTGCTAATGTCTACCCCGGATTGGGAACCACTGGGCATGGCTGTGTGAGCTGGGAAGTGCTGCCTCCCAGCAGGGCTGGCTCCAAGCACCTGGGGGCCAGGCTGATGTTCAGGTCCTGAAACTGCAGGACCCGCAGATGCCTGTGGCTTTTTCCAGCTCTGGCATGCAAGTGACAACCTGCGGAAATTAGAAAAGAAACTCAGAAGACCAGAACATGCTCCAAGGTACGTTCTCAGGCAAAGTGGGCAACTGCCTCTCTTCCGGCTTGGTTTTCCTGGGAAAGGTGAGGCTGGGAAGTAGCTTGAAGGACGAGGGAGAGTTTCTCCGCTAGGGGGCGCACTTGCTCGAGGGGTGCCCGGAGCTGAACCCGCGTCGTGGTGTGTTCTTGTTCCGGACATAAACATGTCAATAAAGGATGAGGAGCCCAGTCAATTCCCAGCCAGAAAGTGAAATGTGAGAGTGTGTGGGGGAAGAGAGACGGAGAGAGGAGGCAGAGGGCGCATGAATGGACGAAAGCATCATTTCTTGTTCTGGGACTTTGCCTTCCTCGGGGGAGGGAGGGTATTTCATGGCGTGGAGTCTGTCTTCCCCCAACCATAAATTTGCACACATGAGGACACTGCCAGGGGGCCCACGCCTGAGCCGTCTGGGGCATATGATTGCTGTCCTGACACCCAGAGCTCTGGTGATGGGGGCAGCCCAGGTCTAGGGAACTCAGACCTCTCCTTGCCTGTGAAGGAGCTGATGCCTTTCCCTCTCCCTCCATTCCTCCATTCCTCCATTCCAGAGCCAGGACACACCCACAGTGTTGCTGTGAAGTGAGCAACAGCAGGGTCTCTGAGTCAGACAGACCTTTCAAAATCAGGCACCTCCTCTCCCGGGATGTTTGCTCTCAGGGACTTTGCTTCATTTCTCTGAGCCTCAGTTTCCTCATCTGTGCAATGGGCACAATGCTGACGCCTGCATCGAGGTTTACACAAAGCAGCACATAGGAGGCATTTAGCAGAGTGCCTGTCCTATGCTAAATGCGCAGAAATGTTAGCTCTCATTAGTGCTATAATAACCCCCGAAGAAGGGCCTCCAGAGACCCTGATCCCAGCTAAGTCCTCTTAGCCAGTCTTCCCTGGCCTCTGCCATACCTCCCCTGCCTCAGGCTTCTAACTCTGCCTTCAGAGCTTTGCTCTCTTTGCTGCTGTGGTCTGTTTTGTCTATAGTAGTGGCCCGTTATCTAAGGTTTCAGTTACCAGCAGTCAACTGCGGTCCCAAAATATTACATGCAATAAGATATTTTGAGAGAGAGAGAGAGAGGGAGGCCACATTCACAGAACTTTTATTCTAGCATATTGTTTTAATTTTCTATTTTATTATTAGTTATTGTTGTTAATCTCTTACTGTGCCTAATTCATAAATTAAACTGTATCATAGAGATGCGTGTATAGGAAAAACACAGTATATATAGGTTTGGTACTATCTGCAGTTCGGAGCATCTAGATAGTATGGGGGTCCTGGAACGTATTCCCTGTGAATAGAGGGGACTCCTGTACTTTCATGCTCTTCCCACCCATGGGGCAGAACTTCCAAAGGAGCACACAGGGTCAGAAGCCAAGGACCTAGGCAGCCTGGCACTCTCCAGCTGTGTGACTTTGCATAAGTGACTCCATTCTTCTGAACCCTGATTTCCTTGTCTATAAACAGAGGGCAGTGAGGCCTCCCTTGCAGGGTTGCTTTAAGGATTTAAGGAGTATTTTGGAAATGGAATAGTGTATTTGTTTGCTAGGGCTACTGGAACAAATACCACGGGTGAGGGTCTGTAAGCTTAAACAAAAGTTGATTGCCTCACAGTTCTGGAGGCTGGAAGTCTAAGATCAAGGCACCGGCAGGGTTGATTTCTCCTGAGGCCTCTCTCCTGGGCTCATAGATGGCCACCTTCTCCCTGTGTCCTCATGTGATCGTCCCTCTGTGTGTATCTGTGTCCTTGTTGCCTCTTCTTACAAGAACAGCAGTTATATTGGACTAGGGCCCACCCATACGACCTCATTTTACTCATCAATTTTTAAAGAGAATATCTCCAAATACTGTCACATTCTAAGGCAGTGGGGTTAGGGCTTCAACACAGGAATGTGGAGAGGAGGAGATACAGTTCAGCCCTTGAACCGTAACACATACGCATACACATTATTTCTGCTTTTGTATCTTTCACTCTACCTGCCCTGTGGTAGGTATCAATGTATTCTTGTGACTCATTGATTAGTTTCAAAATCAA